TAAATAAAACAACAAACTCCGTGGTTTTAGTCCTCAAGCGAACTATACCGACCAAGCTGCCGCCGCTTGTCGGCGAAGTTAGTGTCAACTTTAGAGGATAGAGGTCGTCGCGTGGTCAGCGCAACGGACCACCACGGCCGTTAATTTCGGTTTTCTAGACCGAAGCTATTTTTCCTTTCAAGAAGCTCCTCAATTATCCTCACGAGGCTGAGTGAACCCCGTTCCAGACCCACTACTTCTCAGGAAATCTGGTAGTGCCGGGAATCGAACCCGGGACCTCTGGATCTGTAGCCAGGAACAATAAATGAATAAATACATACATAAACTACAATAACTATTCTATCTTTCTCTCTATCCTGTCTGCTTCTATTCTTCCCTTATCCTCTTTATCCCCACTCGTTACATCTTTATTTCTTTCGTTAGTGACTTTATTCTGTCCTTTTCCTTTCTCTATTTCTTTATTTCTTCCTTCCTATCTCCCTTTCCTTCTATCTTTACCTTTCTTTCCCGCCTCCTTTCTTCTTTTCCTCAGTTTCTCACATTATTTTCTTGTTTGAATTCTACATTTTCTATTTCTGTCTTTCCTTCTCTGTAATTTCGGATGCTTTAAACTCTCTTTCGCGTTCCATTTCTCTCTCTACATTCTCCTGTTTTTCTCTTTTAGCAAAAAGTGAGTCTTCAACGATGCAGTAGGCTTACAGGCTCGCTATGTCGAAGGGGAAATACAATTGCAAAAAGTCCGTTTCTTTCTTCGTGAAATCACAATGTCCGATATTGTTATTATTATTGTTATTATGGATCTATAGCCCTTTGTTGGGCCTTGGCCGCTTTTTCAGTTTCTTGATCCATGCAGTCCTTGGACGGGGATCAGCTAGTCGCAAGGGCTCTAACTACACACAGAATAAAACACGATAAAAACATGCATACCTCGGGTAGGATTCGAAACCACGATCCCAGCGTTCGAGCGCGCGAAGACAGTTCATGCGTTAGACCGCGCGGCTGCTGTGATCGGCACAGGGTTTGTATACTAAATTGAAACCATGCAAACAGCAGTAGTAAGACATAAAATCTGATTTTTCGAAATAATTATTTCCTTGAAAACAATCATACTAATTGCTATCGGACTGTAGGATATAAAACAAAATCCAAGAATATGGACTATCTCATTACAAAACGAAGATCAAACAAAAGCGCAGAAGCTGTTCCATTTTCCTTTGAACTAATCTACCGTGCTACGTAGCATGAGCCGGTCATGCAACGCGCGCACCTCATCTACATTCATTACCTTCACAGCAAAAACCATTGGACGATCAAACAAGACGCGAGTGAGGACACTATAGTAATCATCCTCTATTCCTTCTCATCCTGTTTCATCTCAGTTTTCTTCTCTTGCTCCACCTCTTCCTCGTTTTAACCTGTCTTTTCTTTCCTTCTTCTGTATCTTCTTGTCCTGTTCTCTAACTTCTCACCCTCCGCCACCCCTTATCTCATTAATCTCGTCTTCTTCTTCTTTCAAATGTTCCTCCTATTATTATTATTATTAGTAG